GCTTTTCCCAAATATTAAAAGATGGACTCACTGAACCTAGAAGAGCTCGCTGGCACCAACTCTGGGGGTTTCAGGTTACTTGCCACTCCTTCCTTACAATGATCTCTTTTTTGGCTTTTATAACATATCTCTGTCCTCATTTCCCACCTCCCACTCCAATTGCTCTTTTTCATTCCATTTCAAGCCCTTCCTCCTCTGCCAGTCCTTCAATGACAGCAATCTCAGAGCTCTGTTGTAGATCCTCTTCTCTTTTCCCTATTCCACACACTTTTCCTGATAAACCTCATCTCCTCGCAAAGTTTTGAATCCCAGCTATATGCCACCGGATGGGCAGAAAACTTTTCCCTTCTTCCCTTGTAGGTTCCTCGGTGCGTCTGACAATTAAATTGACATCAGACAGATGAACAGGAGAAAAACAAATTGTATTTTGTACATTTGGGAACCCATACAAAGGGGTCTCAAAGCAGTGGCCAAAGCAGGCAGTTTTATGCCTTTTAGAAAAGGAAACACTACATTTGTGAAGAATTGACAAGGCAAAGGGGTTTGGGCTGGGGGTAGAAAAATGAGTGAAGAAGTCACAAGGTTTGTTCATACAGTCTCCTCAGCTCTGAATTCCCCGTCTCTGGTGATAAGGATGCCATCTACCCTCCTGGCATGGGGTGGAGATCTTTCACATGGGAGATTTGTTTCCTGATTTCAGAGGACAGAGGAGGGTCTGAGTGTTGTTCTTACAACCAGCTGTTTCCTAAGTAACTTTAATTTAAAATAATCAGTAGGGCAAAACGTGGCATATTTTGGGGTGGCATATTCTGCTTCCCCTTCACCACTTATGTCCATGGTGGTTATGTGGCACATAGGGGACTTGTTGAATTGTACAAAAGCACAAAATGGGAGGGTTCTGGTGTAGTATTTTCCTTTTTACCTTTTATCCTGTAACTGAGTTAGTCTATATACTTTTTTAATCATAGAGCTCACTTTGGGAGCTTATGAAAACAGAGAAAGTTTACAATAAGTAAATAGAAATGGGCTATAAGCCACAGATAACCCCTTTTCATATTTTGGTAAGAACAGAATGTCATGCTGATTTCCATACAACCGTAAGTTCTTGTTCTTCATAAACGCATTATCATACATTTATTTACTTTATTTTCTATCTTCTTTATTATGTTTTGCCCACTGCTACAATCCTCAGACCCTGTAATAATCTGACACACAGGAAGTGCTAGTAGTGTTGAATAAATGAATCTCTCTATATAGAACAGAGCTGAGATCATACTTTAATATACAGTTCAAAATTTTTCTCCATCCTTCATTCAGGATGATACTTCATCATGTCACTGACTTGTTTAAAACCCTTCAGTGATTTCTCATTATCCTTTGAACAAAGCCCAAAATCTTACTGTAGCTCACGAGCTGTTAGTCTCTGTAAAGACACACAATCTCATCTTTGGAGCTGAAGCACTCCTAATCCTCAGGGCCCATCGGAGCCCAACTCCAGGCTTCTCTCCCCATTTTTTACCCTAGAGCCACACTAGGCTCCTTGCAATTTGCACCAACACACATGGCTTCTCTTGTCTTAGGGTGCATCTGTTTTCTAGTGCTGCTATAAAAAAGTTCCACAGATTGGGTGGCTTAACAGAAATTAATTTTCTTAGCGTTCTAAAGGCTGTAAGTCCAAGATCAAGTTGTTGGCAGGGTTGATTTCTTCCCAGACCACTCTTCTTGGCTTACAGATGTCTTCTTTGTGTCTTTACATGGTCTTTCCTCTGTGCAGGTCTACGTCCTAATCTCATTTTGCAAAGGTACCAACCAGTACACCAGATTAGGTCCCACCTTAGTTACCTCATTTAACCTTAATTACTTCCTTACAGACCCTGTCTCCAAATAGTCACAGTCTGAGGCATTAATGGTTAAAAATTCAATATGTGAATTGTGGGGGACACAATTCAGCCCCTGATGCAAGGCCTTTGAACTAGTTGTTTCCTCTGTCTCACCTCCTCTTACTTGAGATCTCATTAAATTTCACTCTGCAGACAAGCTTTTCCCGACTTCCCCCAGGTTAGGCCCCCATGTTATGTGCTTCTATAGGATCAGTATCATCCCCTTTCAAAACCCTCACCACACCTGTAATTACTTATTCAATGTCCGTCTTCTGCATCTGACTGTAAAATCCATGAGAACAAGATCTAGAACTATGTTGAACATCACCATATTTCCAGAGTTTATAGTTCAGTGCACTGTGAACAGGAAAGGCAGTAAATCCTTGCTCAATCTCAAAGAGTATGCTCTTATATATTAGACACTTTGCATAAACATTTTTATGAATGTACATTATTTTTTGATGTGCCATACTCTTAGCCATTATCCCACGGATATTTAGATTATATCCAATTTTTCTTATTCACAAAATAGTAAATCTTTGTCTATACCTCTAGCCATTTCCTAAGGAGTAGTTGACTGCGTTAAAAGGAAATAAATTATTTTAAGGTTTTGATGTGTAGCGACAAACTGATTACTAGACTCTACCAACTTATACTTTTACTAGCTGTAAAAACAAAAATAAACAAAAACATAGAAAGTATAAGAAAAAGAGCTTGTTACATAGAATTTTGGTGAATATCTGATTGTCTGATTTCTCTGTAAGGAAGGAGCTGTTTAAATCAGAGTATCTGCTGAGTTTGGAGGACACCTAGCCCACTGGCTCTTGGATGAGGCATCCCTGTGTATGTACCCAGTACCATAAAAAGAAAGTAAATTTTTTACAACTCCTAGTGATGGAGATCATTTGATGCTCCCTCCAATTTTAGAAGCATACATACCTGGGAAGGAATAGTTAGTGAGATGGGGTGAGAATTCCTTCACTTTTGTGGTCGAGTTGAGTCCAGAAGCCTGATTCTCGCATTTCTCAGTCCATCTGGTTTGAGATTGCAGGTTCCAGTCTAATATCACGGTAGAAAGAGTAGAGGATTGTCCTAGAATATGTGCAGGGAAATTTCTATCATACTAAGTGCAGATACAAGTCATGTGGATTCAGTAGGCAGACTGGTTGGTGGAAGCTGAGGTCATTCTCATCTGCATCTATTTTTTTCAGTGAAATATATGGTGAGGTCATCAGGAGAGTGATGGGGGAGGAGTACGCACATTTGAAAAGAAAGGTGGTGTGAAACCTTTCTGAGAGTGGGAAAATAAATTGGCTAGAGAACTGTGGTTGGAGTTTGGGGAAGTAATGAATCTCATTTGAGATTTGTGGTCATGACTTAACATGAGGTCAGCCAGCAGTGGGGTTGTGATTTTATCCAGTTCCAACAGCTACTTAAGTTTAGGTGAAGAATGAGTGCGTAGTTGAGATTAGTAAGATACAACGTTTTGCCAAGTTAGTTCAACAGAGGAAGAGAGGTTACATGGGTTAGTCGGGAAGTGAGGCCGTGAGGAGGGTGATGGATTCTGAGAAACTAGGAAGATCAAAGGGTTCGAGATACTGAAGCATCCCCAGTGGACAAGGTTCCGTTGAAAGAGCAAGTAATGATTAGAGGCTCGGATCATGGGGCTTTAAAAATGCTTTTGACTGCAGTGAACTGAAATTCACTTTGCTTATTAATACCTGAGGTGAGGTGGAGTGGCTGAGTGAGATCAGCTTCCTGAAGGCAGCAGGGGTCTGGGACTGACCTGAGAACTTCATCTGCTCTACAAATGCAGGAAGCTGGACGGGGGAGTGGGGAGAGCGAGCATAAGACAGGCCAGGTTCCAGTGCTGGACAGGCTGCCTCTTGGGCCCTACGGCCAATGGCTTTTCTTAGAGGTTCAGAAAAGAGAAAGGTGGGGGTTCTTGTGGATGATGTGCTCCAGGTAGCTTGAAACTGCAGCACCGGGGTGGTGGCGGTGGGGGGGCAGGGAGCAGCCAGTCCTTGGGGTTAAGTTCCCCTCTCTCTGACTCATCTATTTAGGGACTTGGGTTCTTTCCTCAACCACGTGAAAGGTTTTCATTCTTTTTATTTTAAGAAACCCCATCCTACTAATCCTACTATTATATGCAGAGTATTTTATCAACATTACCTGCTGCTATTTCTTAGTATCACCGAGACTGACCCGAGGGTAGAGATGTGCTGTGTCACACACCACAGGACGTCTGAACGGATGCCTTTCTCCCGCTGTCATCTTGGGATGATGGCTACATTCTTTTATGGATGACGAGAATCCCAAGGGCCTATGAGTGGTCTCCCATTTACTACTTCATTGAAGAGCATAGATGGAAACTTAGGCCTCCCAACTTCATTGCATAAATCAAGAGCAAGGCTTTGAGAAACACCAGCTTACTAGCAGGCAGATGCTGACACATACTATTTCCAATTAACACTTACACTTAGCTTCTCTTAGTAGATAGACCAGGAGGAGGTGTGAGAGGAGGGAGAGGGCAGGACGCTGGTGGGAGCACGGGCTCTGGAAACAGGCTCCCATTCCATCGCCCAGTCACCAAAAGAGGGATTTGAGTAGGATGCTGAGAACTTCTTCAAGTCCCAGGGTGCTCATCCTTAAAGAAAGTAATTATCAATACATAACAGTGCTTATTATTAGGTCTTTCAAGATCTCTGCACATGGAAACCCGGGAGTATCAGAGATGAGAAGCATCGCATCACAGTATGTGACAGCAGCTGCTATGAGGAAATGGCCTCACTGGAGGTAAGGGGAGAGCTTACGGGTACTTCTGACGACAATATTGAAAGGACCCCTGACTTTACTAAACAGAAGTAACTCCAAAGATAGACATGTTCCCAATTGGCTCTGTGTATTACTAAACTCTACTCGAAGGGTCTTTGACACTAACTGAACTGTGGAAATACTCAATGTGCGTTTGTGTTTCTATACCCTAAGATGTCTCCTAAACTTACTCCACTGGGGTAAAATGAAAATTAAAGAGAAGACAGAGTAGTGAAAAAAATTCAAACATGTCAAAGTACAAAGATATGCTAAGTAATGTTAAAAATTCAAATTAAAACTAGATGAGAATATTTACATATTTTATTAAATCTTTACAATCAGTAATTATAATCAAATACATAATTATATACAAGAATTATATACATTTTGCCCAGACTTTTACATCACAGTACATAGTTTCCCTTAGAAATATTGTATACATTTATCACCAAACAATAAAATCCAACAACAGTAGTGTTACAGCACCTGTTAGTACAGACATCTTTTTCATAAATTACATCATAAGAAAATATACGGCTGTAAATTGGGCTTTTAAAAATGTCTTTTATAAAATCTGAACATACAATATTTCATTCACAGAATGTTTTTTTTTTTTCTATGTTCTGACTGAAGCCTTGTGCATTAAACGACCCATTGGAATATCTACCCCCACCCACCCAAAAAATTGTAAGCACTATTTGAATTACTTACGCTGAGCTTTCCTTATGATGAATTTGGCATGGGGTTTGGTGAGAGACCAAATGCTGGTTTTACTAGAAAAGGGCTGTGTGATGTTAATTTAAAAAAAAAATCGACAGAGTAATTATATAGATAAGTTAAATTAGAGAGTGCACATTTTTTCATTTTACTCTCTAATACTGTGAAGAAAAAGGAAAAGGTTTAATGTCAAAAAGTAATTTGTTCTGAAACAACAATTGTGTTCTTGTTGGAAGCCTACTAAAGGTTAAAAAGAAAAAAATAAAACCTATTCAACATAATATCCCACCCCAAACATATCCAGTAAATTACAACTCTTTCACACCTAAACTTGATGGGAAAAGTATTGCAAATTAGGGTATATCATTTCAGTGGACTTTCACAAGCAGAAAAAACTACAGCTATTTTTAGTAGGTAAACAAGTTTTAAAATGTGAAAACACCTGAATTAAATATTTGCTCTAATATCTACTTTTAATTTTCAGAAAAAATCCTTACTTGATTCCAGGTTTGTAAACATTGTATAAGTCCTTCTTAGTCACACAATTTTATGGCTGTGGTGATCACTTCAGCTCTATTTCTATATAGTCAACATAAAACTGAGGTAGACCAGATGTTTCTAAAATTCAGGGTCTTATAGAATCCCCTGAATCTTTAGGAAGTAAATAAAATGTCTATATAAAGTTATTTTAAAAACAAAACATAAAAAAAAAACCTAATGCTGTTGGAATTTTTTAATGAGCTTACAACGTTGTGCAGTATGTCAGATAAGAATGCAGAATTAATGGCAATGTTGGAGTTTTGAAGTTGAGCATTTTACCTTCCTAACTAGGGAAAAATCGATATAATTCTGGGTTTAGTAAAGATTTTTTTTTAAGGATTCACTTTCTAAACAAGTGAACAATTTGCTTCTAGACCTCAATGAATGGCAACAGCTCCCTCTAATGGCCAAAGGAAGAGTGAGTGGCAGTAAGCCGGCTTTTCTTTGTATGCTACAAGATCTTGGAAAAAAATGTTTTGATAACTTAGAAAAGTTAGACTTAGACAACAATGGCTCTTAGCTACAAATACAAAATCAAATCAGTGTATATAAGGCTTCTGTAATCAAAGTCTTAGAGGAACATCTGCTCCTTTTCTCCATGCTCCAGTCCTATAAATCAAGGCAAGTAAAGTAATTAAGCTTCAGCTATTTTGGCAGCTTTGCAATGAAGAAGAACAAAGCACTATGTCTATCCTTCCATTTACTATATATTATAGTTCTATCTCCTTACACCAAATTGCACATGCAGAGAGACTAAAAATATCCATTCTGGTGACAGTTTAATTCAGAGCCAAAAAAGTTCTTGTATACACTACTTCCCCAACCCCACAATGTGAATTCTCTAAAAGATTTATTACTCACTGACCCAATTAAGTTTAGCTGGAATTTTTGAAAGCATCTATTTATCCCTTTATAAAAGAATATATTTCCCTGGGATCTAAGACATACTGTACATGAATATACATAACTACAATACAGCACTGCTGTTCTGTTAACAGCTCCATATACAGTTTAAGTTCATCAGTACCTCAAAACTGTTTTAAGTAAAGGTTATTCTGTAATGTCATGGTAAAGAGAAAGGAAATTAAGTTTCACAAATACTCCTTTAGAACCAATTTAAAAGTTTAAGAAAATAAATAAAATGAGTAAATCCATGATTTCAACTACAAGGCTGTTTACAGATATCAACGGCAAGATTTTTAAAACTTAACGTGGCCAGCACCAGACTGCCATAAAAAAAAATTTAAAAAAAGGAAAAAATTCTCATTAAGCTGTATGGCTGTATGTTAAGTTGCTACTGTGTAAGCTGTTACACAGCTTACCATAAAATAATTTTCAAGTCCATTATCAGAAGGAATATTTGTTTAAAATAAAAAGAGAGAAGCAAACTTTACAACCATGATTCAACAGAAAATATGACAGACTCCTTAGGTGCAACTTTAAATAACCAGTTTCAGAGGAGAAAACAGTAGTTACCCCAGGATTTTTAGATTACTACCACAGTTTTATCATGGCTCCCTAAGATAGAAAAATGGAACAGAATGTATTTGGCTATTGGCGATATGGGCCTTGTGGCTCAAACTGCATACAAAACATGGGATGGAGTAAGGCTGATGGCTAACGGTAACCACCAAGAGAAATGAACTGAAAAGATTTATAATTTATTCCAAAAGGACATAAGGTTAAGTTCCATTTCAGAGTAGTCACAGCTTCCCCTATGGAAGGCCCAATGGCAAATTCATATTGCAACTTTATAGTTTCTCCTTGTTCCATTTTTCAAAAGCATTAAGTAGCCAATTTCCAAAATGTATTATATGACCTTTTTACCTGGTCCCAATGATTAGTCTTTATGCAGAGAACTCACTAAGAAAGTACACTGGCTTCACCTTTGGTTTAAATGAAAAGGACATTATTAAGAGGGAAAACTCAAGTCATCTCCATCATTTATAACACGATGAAGCAAGTGAAAGTGATGAGCCAAGCCTGTTTTCCCCACGAATGCATTTGCTTCCCGACCACTTAGGTCACTCTGAGTGATTCTGTGGAGGCAGCGTAACTAGAACACAGTACTCATCTGTTTCCCAGAAGAGCCTCTAGCCCCGAAACCAAGAAAGCTGAGCTTTCTTTAATTAGAAATCTGTACAGATTCCTATTCCCCCACCCCACTCTTAAGTGGATTTGCTTCTTGTCTACCCAGAAACTGCAGAAATCTGGCTCCTAGGAATGCCCAGTCATCTTCCTAGACTGAGGTGCTGCAGGGTGGTATAATATTGTCATTTGAGGGGGGAATTGCAAGTGTCCATTTTTGATGGGACAGTTTTAAACAAGGTCAATTCGAACATGGCATGCTCATGATTCTTCTGACACCTAACCATCCCAGTCAGAACGTGGTTGCTCATCACCACACTTAAAGCCTCCCACTGGAGAGCCTGCTTAGTATTAAGGTGTCTATTATCCTCTGTTTACTTTTTCTTTTTAAATACCTACCACCAGTCTTTAGTGAGTCATAGTTCATCCTTGTCCATCATTTCAAATGCTTCTATATCTTCATTCCAGTCTGCTAATATGGAGTCTATAGGCTGGACCTTTTTACCCCAGCTAACATTAGGATTAGAATCTTCCTCAGTTTCTGATTGTTCTTGAAGTTGGTTATCTAAATCTGTACATTCACCATCAAGACTCAGAGTCTCGTAGTTTTCTAAAGGATCAGAATTCTGTTCGGAAGGAGAAATGCTTGCAGCATTGTCTGTATCTGTTGGAGATAATGATTCTGGGTGAGAGTGTAGAGAACTCTCCTCAGAAGACTCTTGGTCAACCAAATCAACCTCCTGAGAATTTGATGTAATCTGTTCAGTACTCTGATCCTGAGAATCAGTTTCAGAGGATGGCTGTTCTTCATTTTCCATTTCAGGATCTGTATGTGAAAGAAACAGACTTCATGCTACTTTCCCCCTCAAAAACTTACTATCACACTTTGAAAAGCATACTGATTTCTGCAGTAAAATGAAGAAATAAAAGTTCAAGAAAATTTTGTAAATGTAGAACAATAAACATTAACATTGAAGAGTGGAAGACTCCTTATAGTAATGCAATCACATTTTTCACTTTGTTTACATATGTTCACTTTGCAAAACGTGACATTAGAAAGTAGATGTTCTCCCAAACCAAAAAGAACAACTCTGATAAGACTGCCCTTCAATGGGTATTAGTAAATGCTAAAAAATACACTAAGCAGTACTATTAAAATGTATATAAATTCACACTCTTAAGTTTAAAATTTATTAAATATTTAAATTCAGCAAAGTTTGTATTTGAAAACATAAGCAGAAAATTTTTACACAGCACATATCATTGCTATGCTCTACAGTAATATTCTTTTAAAAAGTAAAGTTTCTACTAAGTCATGAGCAGGTAATATAAAATTTTGGAAGATTTCATGTTATTAATGTGATTGAGTAAATAAAATATTTTCAGAAAGATGACATTATTTTCAAAACTTCTATTTCATTATTGTAGGTCTGTGAGTTATAAGATATAACCATTCTAAAATCCACGGGAAGATGGAATAGGTTAATCCTCTTGTAGTGAATACGCAATGAAACCACTAGAGGCGCTCTGTTTAGGGTTCCTACAAGGAAGTGCTTAAATGGCATGGACGCCCGCATGCTGCACCTCCTCAGTCTCTGTAGGCAGTCAGCAAATAGTTCCTGAGCGTCCACTGTGTGGCAGGCACTGTGCAAGGTGCTAAGGTTAAACAAGGCAAAAACAAACACCAAATCTGCCCTATAGATTTTACAGTCCAGGGGAAAATGACATTTACAAATAACCACACAAAATAAATAGAAAAACTCGGTGGTATTTGTTATGGTGTTAGGAAAGAATAAGGAGATTTGAGGGTTTCCCTCAGAGAATGACACTTGGGCTGAGATTTAAAAAAGTAAGTGGAGTTAATTAAAGAACGGAGTGAAGAGGGACCTATTATAAAACTAGCATGCAGGAAGGCACAGGTGGGTGCGTGTACACATATACACCCTCATTAGGTAGGATTATCTGCCCAGGAAAGTTTAGTTCTTAGGGTGAAGGCTGGGGGAAGTGCAGAGTGCAAGGAGAAGCAGGAGTCCCTACACATTCTTTCTTCTAAGCTGAGGAAAAGGTACACTTTAATTTGACAAAGGAAACCACGGTGAGGCCCAAAGAAGAGAAAGCAAGGAGACAGCTACTTGCAGCTCCTTTATGCTTGGCTACCCTAAGTTCAGGGGAGACTAAAAAGAAAAACCTTCAAATTTCTTTCTGGAGTGTATTAGTCTAGTTTCAAATGATAGGAAAAGGTATCGGGCTGTTTATTCAGTAATAAAGATAGTGCTTTTAGCAAAATTACCCTAGGGTTACATATTATACAATACTATTTTGGAAATCTAGCTAGTGTAATAGGATAAGAAAAAAGAACAGTCAGTGTAAAAATAGGAAAAGAAAAGATAAATTGTATTTTCAGACTGTGTTGAATCCTTGTACTCCAAGCAACTATTAATTTAAAAAATACTATTAAAATAATGTATTTTAATATATTATTTGATGAGGATAAAAATATGATAAAGAGGCAAATATTGACAACCCCTCTGTAGTAGCAGTAACTGGTTAGAAATAAATTAAGTATCCTTTTCATAATAAAAATAAACGATATAAAACACAGAATTAAAGTTATTATGAAAGGACCCCATTGCTTAACACTATAAAATCTTGATGAGCAAATGAGATCTGATTAAATTTATAGATAAGTGTATGTTACTGGATGGAAAGTTTTCACTTTTAATAACAAAATTTTTTACTGATATGTAAAACATGCAATTCCAAAATTCCAAAATGAAGCCCACTTCTACTTCTTGTTTTCTTTTGGGACTAGAAAAATGTTTTAATTCATATGGAAGACTATCATCCATCAAAGAGAAGTCAAGAAATTCTGAAAAGAATTAGTGAGAGTTACCTTATCAGAGATTAAAGCTATTCAGAACAGCAAGTTATTTTATGATTGGCACAAGAATAAACAGATTAGCAGAAATGAAGAGTAAGTCCAGAAATAAATCAAATACATAAGAACATCTGATATACAGCAAAGAGGCAGCAATCAGAAAAGTAAAAATGGCAGCTAGGGGAGTCCAAAAAGGAAGAAAGGAATTGAGTGTCTGCCACGCTGCTATAAATCTCCATTCTAAGTTGCCTGTTATCATCACTACGCAGTGTCAAAGGCCTAAGAGCCTAATTACTACAAATTAAATTCAGGAATGGTGTTATCAGAAACAGAGGAAGAGGGAAAAAAATAAAGAAAAGCTCAAGATACAGAGAAAAGAAAATTATTAAGTTTTAATAATAAAAGGACAAGGAACCTTGGCAAAGATTTAGAGATGGGGTGTTCTACAATCATTCATTCGTCTGTACAACCAGCATTTACTGAAAGCAAGGAATACAGAGATGCAGGTAAAGAAGTATAATGTAATATAAATGCCAGAGTAGAACTATATGAAAAAGATGCCCTTCAATTTCATCTGAGACTAAGAAAATTTCATAAATAAGGTGACATTTGAAGTGGGTATTTAGGATGGCTAACTGTTCTCAAAGAGGATAAGGGCCATGAGAGCAGGGATAGAGATTGATAAAGAAAGAGGTTTCCAGAAAGAGGGAAGAGATGTGCAAATGCATGGGAAACATGGCATAGTTGGAGAAAGGGGGTGGTAGCTATGTATCAATTCTTGTAACGAGAATGTTTTGGATGCTCCTTTCCAGGCAAAAAGGCCATCTGCATACATACTAGATTTTTCTCTTCAGAATCAAATCCTTTCAAACAGCAGCCTAACTCCTACAGTTCGACTTCAGAACACATTCATTCACTCCAATCAAGTTCAGTGGGGAAAAATCTCAGGAAAAGTAACACTGCCAGACTTAAATTCTGAGCAGTTGAACCCATGAAACCTTTCTTTTCTTTCCCCCATTTTCTCTGTCTGCCTTTCTACCAGGTACACAAATACAGGAGTTGCTGTGAAAACATCTGTCCATAGTTCTTAAGGCACTATCGGCCTACACAGTAAATTGCAAACATGATAATGTATTAAAACTTTAAAATGCTAATTTTTTTTCCCTTGAGGAATACTATTGTGAAAAGGAAATTGATTCTTAACTGATTTGTATCAATTTGGATCTAAAGGAAACAACACAGTGTCTTTTGTTTGTGGGCATAGGGTTGGAATTATTTTTAAGTACCTCTATAAACTCTTAAATTTTGGAAGGGAACACATGAGAGATATGATATTAAAACTTCTTAGATAACTCAACTTTTAGGAATATGACTGATCTGACCTAGGAAACAACATTTCCGCTTAATAAATTACTAAAGCTTCACAATCTACAGATTCAATGCAATCCCTATCAAAATACCAACAACATTCTTCAATGAACTAGACCAAATAGTTCTAAAATTCATATGGAAGCACAAAAGAACCCAAATAGCCAAAGCAATCCTGAGAAGGAAAAATAAAGCTGTGGGGATTACACTCCCCGATTTCAAGCTATACTACACAGTCACAGTAATCAAGACAATTTGGTACTGGCACAAGAACAGAACAGACCCACAGACCAATGGAACTACTAGAGAGCCCAGATATAAACCCAAGCATATATGGTCAATTAATATACAATAAACGAGTCATGGACATACAATGGGGAAATGGCAGCCCCTTCAACAACTGGTGTTGGCAAAACTGGACAACTACATGCAGGAGAATAAAAGTGATTATTGTCTAAGTAAACTTGAAATGGATCAAAGACCTGAATGTAAGTCATGAAACCATAAAACTCTTAGAAGACAACATAGGCAAAAATCTCCTAAATATAAACATGAATAACTTTTTCATGAATGCAACTCCTCCAGCAAGGGAAACAAAAGCAAAAATGAACACATGGGACTATACCAAACTAAAAAGCTTTTGTACAGCAAAGGACACCATCAACAGAACAAAAAGGCATCCTACAGTGTGGGAGAATATATTTGTAAACAACATATCCGGCAAGGGGTTAACATCCAAAATATATAAAAACTGACATGCCTCAACAGCCAAAATGCAAATAACCCAATTAAAAAATGGGCAGAGAATATGAACAGACAATTCTCCAAAGAAGAAATTCAGATGGCCAACAGGCCCATGAAAACATACTCCACATCACTAATCATCAGGGAAATGCAAATAAAAACCACAATGAGATATCACCTCACATCAGTTAGGATGGCCAGTATCAAAAAGACTAAGAACAACAAATGCTGGCGAGGATGTAGAGAAAGGGGAACCCTCCTACACTGCTGGTGGGAATGTAAGCTAGTTCAACCATTGTGGAAAGCAATATGGAGGTTCCTCAAAAAACTAAAAATAGAAATACCATTTGACCTGGGAATCCCACTTCTAGGCACTTACTCAAAGAATATAATTTCTCAGATTCAAAAAGACATATGCACCCCTGTTTATTTCAGCACTATTTACAATAGTCAAGATAATGGAAGCAACCTAAGTGTCCATCAGTAGATGAATGGATAAAGAAGATGTGGTACATATACACAATGGAATACTATTCAGCCATAAGAAGAAAACAAATCCTACCATTTGCAACAACATGGATGGAGCTGGAGGATATTACACTCAGTGAAATAAACCAGGCAGAGAAAGACAAGTATCAAATGATTTCTCTCACTTGTGGAGTACAACAATGAAGCAAAACTGAAGGAACAAAACAGCAGCAGACTCACAGACTCCAAGAAAGGACTAGTGGTTACCAAAGGGGAGGGGTGGGGAAGGGCAGGTGGAGGGGGAGAGAGAAGGGGATTGAGGGGTATTATGATTGGCACACATGGTGTGGGGGGGACCATGGGGAAGA